AAACGACCCTGAGATTTCACCTTACACCCATCAGAATAGCTAAGATCAAAAACTTAAGTGCCAACACATGCTGGAGAGGATGCGGAGAAAGGGGAACCTTCCTTCATTGCTGGTGGGAATATAACCTTGTACAACCACTTTGGAAATCAATCTGGTGCTTTCTCAGAAAATTAGGAATAGTGCTACCTCAACCCAGCTCTACCACTCCTAGGCGTATATCCAAAAGATGCTCCACCATACAGCATGGACATTTGCTCAACTACGTTCATAACAACTTTATATGTAATAGCCAGAATCTGGAAACAACCCAGATGTCCCTCAACAGAAGAATAGATAAAGAAATTGTGGCACATTTACAAAATGGAATACTACTCAGCTATTTAAAACAAACAAACAAACAAACAACAACAAAAAAAACCCCATGAAATTTGCAGGCAAATGGAGGGACCTGGAAAAGATCATCCTGAGTGAGGTAGCCCAGAAACAGAAAGACACACGTGGTATATACTCACTTATTAATGGATATTAGCCATATAATATAGGATACTACAATCCACGGCCCTAAAGAAGCTAAATAACAAGGAGGACCCTAGGGAGGATGCTTAATTCTCATTCAGAAAGGCAAACAGAATAGACACCGGAAGAGAGGGAACAGGATGGGAGCCTTCTAGAGCTATTACCCCCTAAGCTACCTTGTTACTTCTCAGCCCCACATCCCAAGCCATTTGCTGACATCATTCCTGTCTGGGCTACTTCCCATCAATAGCCCTTGATACTTGCACACGCTTTCCATCTGGGTGGCTTCTCTCTGTGTGGATCCTCAGCGCTCCTCCTCCCACCCACGTGGTCTTTACCTGTTCCAAGGTACTCTGCGTCCTTCTTTCCCCTCCACCTGTCTCTCTCCTTCCCCCATCCCTCCGTCCTCTCCGCCCCTGAACCTTGGCCATGACCACCTCATTTCCTGCCCAGGTGCAGGCGTTCTATTGGTCAAACAGGGATAATCTGGGGGCAAGATTACACAGCAGCATTTGGGGTACCTTGTAGTCTATTAGCAAGAGACAGCAAGTAGACTGGTGAGCAAAGTAATTAACCATGAGATACAGGCCCCAGCTCACAGGCTGCAGGTGTGAAGTGGCTCCTCTCAGGGGCGGGTGGGCAGCTGCTTTGGGGCCTGGAGGCAGGCAGGGGTAGGTGTGGCCTGGTTCCTGATTTACACGCTAGTCATTATGTGTTCCATCTCTGAAAACGCACAAAGCTGTACACTTATGAACGCTTTCCTGTACACATATTACATCACTAACAAAAGTGGAAAAGCTGACAATGCAATAAGATAGCACATGGCTTGGGATATAGCTCAGTGGTAGAACACCTGACGATGAATCGGGTTCTGGATTCAATCCCTTGCATCATGGAGAGGTGCACACAACACACACACAAAGAGGTTGATTTTAAATTACATATACTATATAATACACTGCAGTATTTTATAAATAAAAACAGAGTATGCCACTGAAATAAATGACTGTTAGTAAATAAAAATAGGAGAAGGAAGCATCTGGAAAAAAGGTTTGAGGAAACTCAGGATTCGGCATGGAGAGAGAGAAAGCGATAGGAGCTACGAAAGAGGAGTTGGATGCTCACAATGAAACGTGACCATGCAAAAGGACTAATAACCAGAAGAGATGTAATGTGCAAAGAAATGCAGGGTGAGAATCCTCCGAATGAGGGAATGTGGCAAAGCCCACGTTCCCAGGGAAAGAGTTCCTGAGAACACAATGACCCATGTTGGAAAGCCTCATACTCTAACACGTGGGAGAGTCTTAGAAACAGCAGACTGTTTTCTTTGTCTTAAAGGCCGGTACACTGAGTCCTTTAAAGATGAAGGGATTCACCACCAATCAAAGAGCTGATTAACGGCAGACACTATCCTACTACATTGCTTTATTAGAGAAACGGAGCAGAAAACAGTTCCTAACAATGTTCTAACTAGCTTCAGCATCTTATTTGCAGAACTTAATGAACTTAGTGATAAATGAAGACATTTCCAAGTTGACTGCCATGAAATTCATACTTAACATCTGTATTTAACAGATGAGCAGGGCAAGCCAACAGTCCTTCTATTTTAATTCTAGTACAATACACAGCAATATATTACAATAGCCTTACAATTCTATGTAATAAGGCTATTACAATAATAGTCTTAACTTCAGTGCCCAAACTTCATACTGTTATCTTTGTCTGTTTAATAAATGCATCAGCACTTTAAAGTGCTTTTGAGTCACATTTTTTCCATTATCCAGATCATGATACAATTTAAATTACTTTCTTCCTCTGAAACAGAACAACTCACCCTCTAATTGAACCTCTAAATGTTCACTGTAAGTTTGATATGGATTTCACACTGGTCAGTGGGGCATAAATTGTACCAGTGGATGGTAGATGGCTGATTCCTGATGAGTCAGTAGCCTTGAATTAATTCAAGTACTGAGAAAGAGCCAGTGAACACAGGGAAATGTTAGTTTATCCCTTGTTCATCAATCTCAATTTTAAATTTGTAGGGGACAAATTCTGATTATTTTAATCCTTGTGGAATTTAAGACCAGAAAATAATTTTATGACTATTTTAAACAACTTTTAGGTGAACACAATATTTCCAGAAATTTAAGAGTTAAATAATCAAAATGAGGTGGCTTGCTATGTTCCAGGCTGAGGTATCTTCAGAAAATTCTAGCTTCCTTTTTGCCTGTAAGTAAAATGACTTACATGGTGAGTATCCTAAGGCCTAAATCACAAATATTTCTTCAGTGTTCTGATTAAAATCTGAAAGAGGATGAGTCTTGAACTTTCTCAGTGTTTGTGTCTTGGTTTCAGCTACCCATGAAAGCTAAGAATACTTTACATTTTTAATGAATAAAGTTTAAAAAGGAGACACCTGCTGTTGGTGCCGGCTTGGTGGGCTCCAGAGTCTCCTGGGAGCGGGCCCTGGCCATGCCTAGGAGGATGACCTTGAAGCAGCAGACCAGTGTTAACCCAGCAGCACTCAGGGCTGTTCACGCCCTGTGGAAAATAGGGGAAGCCGGCAAAGCTCGGTTCTCACCGAGGACTTGAGCAAGCAGCTGCAGCAGGCCCTGCCCTCTTGACTTCCCTGCTCTGCCTTGCTGCATCCTTCAGCTGGGGGCAAAGTAAGCACTTCCCCTTCCGGTCCCTTTGTCAGGCATTTAACCACAGGACCTAGGAAAGAAACTAAGACAGGCCATGAAAAATACTTCTGCTAAGCACCTACTGCAAATAACTCCCATAACATAAAAAGAATCCACGAAGACATTTATTGATAGAAATGACAAGCAAAAGCAAAGCACAGAAACTTTGGCAAAATATATAAAATCCCTGAACAATGGTGATACTGTGAAAGTTGCAACCCTGGGAACCAAAATCTGTTCTGATTGCCTCATCTACAATACCCACGCTGTAAGAATGTGCCCTAGGTAAACAGAAAAGCACTTACTGTGCAGCAACAGGAAAGGAGTTTAAGAGAACTCAGCACAACTCAGAGAACTCAGGTGACCAAGCTAACCGTGAAGACTAAACATGCCAGATAAAATCACAGGAAGAGTCAGTAAAAGCACAGGTGCCTGAATTATGTAAATAGTGTGGAAAATATAACAACAAAATCAGAAATGGGTGCATTAGGATGGGTGAACATTAGGAGTCATTTTTTAATTTGCACAATTTCTTCACCATTTTCAGACAAAAGGGAAAAACTGGCTACCATTTCTAGAACTTGCTCACTTTTTCACAAATTCTACTCTTTCCTATTAGAAGTGTGTATATGTAAATTTTAAAGAATAAAGAATTCCCTCAGCTGTGTGGGCTAGCCAGCTGCTCATGAAGACACACTACCCAGCCTGTGGTGTCCTGGTGGGCTACAGGAGCAGCCGCCAGCTTTGCTTACACAATTTGCACTAGGGAAAGTAAAATGACAAATGTTCAGGGCATCACTCTGTTCTGGCTGGCCTGGAACTCACTCACAGTTGAGATTAAGGCCTCCCCATGACACCAGGTTGAAAATAACAAGCGTCTACTTCTTAAATCTTCCATGATATTATTCTCATTATTCTCAATCTCACACTGAGAATTAGTTTTGAAATTAAAAACCTTTTATTCATTGCTCATGTGTGGGGTGGGGGTGGATGCGGACAGCTTACTGGAGCTGCTTCTCTCCCTCCATCACGTAGGTTGCCCAGGGGCCAAAACTCAAGTCGTAGGTCTTGGGGACAAGTACCTTCACTCACTGAGCCACCTTCCCTGCCCAGAATTAACTTTGACATTTGTATTCAAAATGCCGAGATGTGCTGAGAATGCTTAGATGAGGCCGCCAACGTTTTCTGTTAGGTTTACACTGCATCAGCCACATAAGACCATCAGTCTATTCAGTTCACAGGTTTAGAGGCAACAACCTTTAAAAAGAAAGGTATAGAAATAGAAACGCTTGTACTTCATGAAACGTCTAGTAAATCTGCTTTTTGAAAAATACACTTTGGTAAATCAACAACCATCTTAATGCTGTCACACTGCACGGCACACCACATTCCCACATGAGATGCTGGTGCATGCCTGGACTCTCTTTACTTGGAGGCAGTAACAGGAGGAGCCTTGGCTACATAGTGAGTGGGGCCATCCTGGGCTAAATCTGTGTATCTTTTAAAGTAATGACTTTATTTGTGGATGTAGGGAGGCACACGTGTTCACAGGTGCCCATAAGGACAGAAGTGAATGTTGGGTCCCTTGGAGTTGGGGCCGCAGGGGCCGCCTGATGCGGGTGGGTACCAGCATCTAAACTCCGAAGCCTGCAGAAAAGGCAGTGAGTCCTCTCAACTGCTGGCCACTCGCCAGGGCTCAGTGAAAGCGACCGTGTCTACAGGAACCCAAAACACTCAACAAATGAATAACTGTTCCCACAACAACAACAAAATGAAGGACTCATGAAATCTGCTGTTTTTAAAAGTGATCATATTCTCAATAACTACAGAAACCATGTCCCGGGGATCAGTGTTCCATGGGAGACACAGATACACTAAAGAACAAGCAGGCGAGAATCTTAATTCAAGATACATTCTCTAGTTTATATTCTAAAAATCACATTTTTAGTAATTTGATGCTACATGGATGACCACAGAAATAGCTGCTACAGGAACTGAGTTCTGTTCTAAGTGGGGTAAGAAATTAATCACATCTTAACCTACTTACATTCAGTTATTGCTGGAGGCAGAAGTTTGTGTACTTACAAATATTTATTAGAAAAACGCATTCATTTTCAAGACCTAAGAACACGGGCACAAAAGACTACAGCCCACCAGCACTTCATAGTAGCCATAAGCCCACGAGACTGCTCACTACTGAGCACTTCAAATATACAGAGATTTCAAAACAACAGAACCCCGCCCCCAAAGTCTAAACAAAGCAAACATGAGGCTTCTGTGACACTAAGGGAACTTCAGCTCAGACTTCTGTTTTCTGTGATTAGAAACTGTTTAACTTTCTTCATAGGAAAAAGACTATGCGAAGATCAAATTCAGAAAGCATATTTATCTGAATCCAATCCAATCATCACTCAGCGACAGGAAGACATCTTTGGAAGAGCTGACGAGGTTCATGGACATTCCTGGGTCAGAATATGCACCAACCAGGACGTGGTTGCCTCCCAGGCAAGTCTCAAAGGGACTTAATTGCATCATCTTCCCTCTTTACCTCCCTCAGAGTGACATATTCACAGCTTAAAGCCTGGTCAGCAAACTCCTCAGACTTTGATGTTTTAAATTAGGCTCATCTGGCCTAAGGGATGTGCAGTGCTCAAGGGGCTATGCGACGCCGTCAATGGTCCATTTGTCTTCGGGGAGGGTGTGCTCTTCAAGTGTAAAGGGCTCCTCTCTGATACAGGTCAGCTCCAGCACGCTGGCACAGGAGAGAGCTCTACAGCACCCAAAAGAGAAAGCGCAAGGTGAGCCACGCAGCATTCCAACGACAGAACTCACCTCTGACCTCTCAGGATCCCAGCCTGAGCCAAGAGCCCAGAGCCTGAGGTAAGCCAACGCTTTAGCAGGGAAGATTATCCAGTGATTTAGACTTAAACCTGTTTTTTCTTATTGGCACTTGAAGCGACCCAGGAGGTAACTATTGCCCTTTCTCTGCACACAGGATCATGTGACCGGCCCACTGTCCAGGGAACAGCAGAGGCAAAGCCAGAGCTTTCAGAGGCAGAGCTTGTAAGAGCGTGGCTTACAGTTTTTGTTTTCAAAATTTTTTAATTTATTTTTATCAATGTAAATAATTTTTAGAAAGTGAATCTTTTCTTTCCTGACCCCTACTTTGAGTTAAAATGCCTTTTACTTAAGAAACTGTTGGCTTTCCCATCCATTATCACTGTGTTCATTCTCTCTCTCCCTGTGCCTCACTCCACATTACCAGCACCTGCTGGCAGCTGCTGGGGCTCATAAGTGCACAATATAACCCACAATGCACCTGAGCTGAAAGCAGCAGTTCCACTCCTCAGCCGGTCCTCAGAAAAACGGAAACAGAAATCTCCCTCTCCCATCAGAGAGGAGCATCACTCTCTAACTCTCTAAACGACACTTCATAATTCCTTCTCGCTTACCTTTGCCTACGTCACCGACCCAGCCTTGGTGGAGAAGCCTCCTCCTCAGTCAGCAGCTGGAGCGTTGGTGGTGGCATGAGGAGCAGTGACCTCCACGCGCTCTTCAACACACGTGGAAATGCACTGCGCAAACAATCAAGCCATAAAGTATTTATGCGCTGAGCCATAAATTATTCATCCAGCAGCATATGTGTTTGTGAGATTGGAAAGTCAGCATGGAGTAGGCAGCAAGTCAGGACCACATTTCACAGTAACTGGCGAGCCACACCGCATTACTACCTCAGCCTCAGGCAGTTAACGGGTTTTAAACAGAAATCATGAGCTATGGAGGATAAAAAATATTTCCAGATTTGTACACTTCATTCACTTACTGTTTGAAACGGTAAGAAATCTCAGCTCTTCTATCATGAGCCATGGTTTTACATATTTTCAGATTTATAAACATTTGAAAACCTATAACCACACAGCAAGGAAAAAACCCTTTGGTAATGAGAACTGTGCGTGAGGGCACTACAAGACAGCCTGTGTGGCTAAGTGTTCACTCGGGGGTACTCCCAAAAACAAATCATTAAATAACTCACGCTCACAGCGCTGGAGCTCACACTTGGCGGAGCTCCTTGGGGCGGAGTACCTTGGGGCTGCCGCACACACCACGCCCCACCTTGTTGCATCAAGAAAGGGAGGAGATTTGGAAGGGTTAATCAACTCACCACCTGGGGATTTTAACTCTTTTCTACCTCACAACTGGGGGCGACTGAGACAGGAAGGGGGTGGAGCAGCGGGATCAACCCAGGGTGTGCCAGCATTTCTTGAGTGGTGCTCGGCTTTGCAGAAGACAGTCTTGCACACTCGCCCTTCCACACTCGCCAGTGAGGCACTTTGGACTCACTCGCAGCCAGGAACCCTGAGCACTCAACACTAATCTGCCGCAGTAGAGGCTGCATGTTCATGGGGTAAATGGAAAAAAAAAAATGCTTTGTAGGGTCATTTTTTTTCATTATTTGCCAAGTCGTTTAGAATCAGGAAACATAAGAACAAGCCCTGGGACATAGCCACAGCCACTGAGGAAATCCAAACAATCATTAGGTCTTGCTTTCAAAGTCTACATGCCACAAAATTCCTAAATGAAATGGACAGTTTTCTTGACCAATTCTACATGCCAAAGCTGAATCAAGACCAGGTAAACCAATTAAGTAGTCCTATATCCCCTAAGGAAATAGAAGCTGTCATCAAAAGTCTACCATGCAAAAAAAAGCCCACGGCCAGATGGCTTCAGCACAGAATTCTACCAGACCTTCAAAGAAGAGCTAACTCCAATTCTCTTCAAACTATTTCACAAAATAGAAACAGAAGGAACACTATCAAACTCATCCTATGAAGCCAGAGTAACCTTGGTACCTAAACCTCACAAAGACCCAACAAAGAAAGAGAATTTCAGGCCAATCTCACTCATGAACATCGATGCAAAAGTACTCAACAAAATACTTGCAAACAGAATCCAAGAACACAACAAAGATATCATCCACTATAACCAAGTAGGCTTCATCCCAGGCATGCAGGGGTGGTTCAATATATGGAAATCCATCAATGTGATCCACCATATTAACAAACTGAAAGAAAAAAAAAAAAAGACATGATAATCTCCCTAGATGCTGAAAAAGCATTTGACAAAATCCAACATCCATTCACGTTTAAAGTATTGGAGAGATCAGGGATACATGGCACATACCTGAACACAGTAAAGGCAATACACAGCAAGCCTAAAGCCAATATCAAACTCAATGTAGAGAAACTTAAATCATTCCCACTGAAATCAGGGACAAGGCAAGGCTGCCCACTCTCTCCATATCTCTTCAACATTGTTCTTGAAGTCCTTGCTAGAGCAATAAGACAATTGAAGGAGATCAAGGGGATACAAATTGGAAAGGAAGAAGTCAAAGTAGCACTATTTGCAGATGATATGATAGTATACCTGAGTGACCCCAAAAACTCTACCAGGGAACTCCTACAGCTGATTAACACCTTCAGCAAAATGGCTGGATACAAAATTAACTCAAAAAAAATCAGTAGCCCTCCTATATACAAAAGACAAAAGGGCTGAGAAAGAAATTAGGGAAACAACACCCTTCACAATAGCCACAAAGGACATAAAGTACCTTGGTGTAACCCTAACCAAGCAAGTCAAAGACTTCTATGAAAAAAATTTCCAGTCTCTGAAGAAAGAATTAGAAGAAGATATCAGAAGATGGAAAGATCTCCCATGCTCATGGCTTGGCAGGATTAACATATAGTAAAAATGGCCATCTTACCAAAAGCAATCTACAGATTCAATGCAATTCCCATAAAATTGCCAACACAATTCTTTACAAACCTAGAAAGAAAAATTCTCAACTTCATATGGAATAACAAGAAACCCAGAATTGCTAAAACAATTTTCTACAGTAAAAGATCTTCAGGAGGCATCTCCATCCCTGATCTCAAGCTGTACTATAGAGCAACAGTAATAAAAACTGCATGGTACTGGCATAGAAACAGAATGGTGGATCAATGGAATCGAATAGAAGACCCTGACATAAATCCACACACTTATGGACACCTGATTTTTGACAAAGATGCCAAAACCGTTCAATGGAAAAAAGACAGTAACTTCAACAAATGGTGCTGGTCTAACTAGATGTCTACATGTAGAAAAATACAAATAGATACATACTTATCACCCTGCGCAAAACTAAAGTCCAAGTAGATCAAAGATCTCAACATAAAACCAGACACACTAAACCACTTAGAAGAAAAAGTGGGGAATACCCTTGAACTCATTGGCACAGGAGACAACTTCCTGAACAGAATACCAACAGCCCAGGCTCTAAGAGCAACAATCAATAGATGGGATCTCATGAAACTGAAAAGCTTCTGTAAAGCAAAGGACACTGTCGTCAGAAAAAAACGACAGCCTACAGATTGGGGAAGGATCTTCACCAATCCTATATCTGACAGAGGACTAATTTCCAGTATATATAAAGAACTAAAGAAGTTAAACAGCAAAAAAATCAAGTAATCCAATTAAAAAATGGAGTACAGAGCTAAACAGAGAATTCTCAATAGAGGAATATCAAATGGCAGAGAAACACTTAAAGAAATGCTCAACCTCATTAGCCATCAGGGAAATGCAAATTAAAATGACCCTAAGATTTCACCTTACACCCATCAGAATGCCTAAGATCAAAAACTCAAGAGACAACACATGCTGGAGAGGTTGTGGAGAAAGGGGAAGCCTCCTCCATTGCTGGTGGGAATGTACACTGGTACAACCACTCTGGAAAGCAATCTGGCGCTTTCTCAGACAACTAGGAATAGCACTTCCTCAAGATCCAGCTATACCTCTCCTAGGCATATACCCAAAAGAGTCTCAAGTACACGATAAGGACATTTGCTCAACCATGTTTGTAGCAGCCTTATTTGTAATAGCCAGAAGCTGGAAACAGCCCAGATGCCCCTCAGTGGAGGAATGGATGCACAAATTGTGGCGTATCTACACAATGGAATATTATTCAGCAATAAAAAACAAGGAAATCATGAAATTTGCAGGTAAATGGTGGGATCTGGAAAAGATCATCCTGAGTGAGCTATCCCAGAAGCAGAAAGACGCACACGGTATATACTCACTCATATAGACATATAATATAGGATAAACCTACTAAAATCTATACACCTAAAGAAACTAATCAAGAGGGAGGACTCTTGCTAAATTGCTCAATTCCTATCCAGAAAGACAAAGAGGATGGACATTAGAAGAAGGAGAAAAGAGGGAACAAGTCAGGATCCTGACACAGAGGACCTCTGAAAGGCTCTGCCCTGCAGACTATCAATGCAGATGCTGAGACTTATGGGCAACCTTTGGACAGAGTGCAGGGAATCTTAGGAAAGAAGTGAGAAACAGTAAGATCTGGAGAGAAGAGGAACTCCACAAGGAGAGCAACAGAACCAAAAATTCTGAGCACAGGGGTCTTTCCTGAGGCTGATACTCCAACCAAGGACTATGCATGGAGATAACCTAAGACCCCTGCACAGATGTAGCCCATGGCAGTTCAGTATCCAAGTGGGTTCCATTGTAATAGGAACAGGGACTGTTCTGACATGTTTCTGACATGAACTGATTGGCCTGGTCTTTAATTCCTAATTTTTTGAGAAAGCACCAGATTGATTTCCAGAGTGGTTGTACAAGTTTACATTCCCACCAGCAATGGAGGAGGGTTCCCCTTTATCCACAGCCTCTCCAGCATGTGTTGTCACTCGAGTTTTTCATCTTGGCCATTCTGATGGGTATAAGGTGAAATCTCAGGGTCGTTTTGATTTGCATTTTTTGATGGCTAATGACGTTGAGCATTTCTTTAAGTGTTTCTCTGCCATTCTATATTCCTCTACAGAGAGTTCTCTGTTTAGCTCTGTTCCCCATTTTTTAAGTGGATTACTTAGTTTGCTGCTTTTCAGCTTCATTAGTTCTTTATATATACTGGATATGAGTCCTCTGTCAGATAAAGGGTTGGTGAAGATTCTTTCCCAATCTGTAGGCAGTCGTTTTGTTTTGATGATGGTGTCCTTTGCTTTACAGAAGCTTTTCAGTTTCATGAGGTCCCATTTATTGCTCAACCTTGTTTGTAGCAGCTTTATTTGTAATAGCCAGAAGCAGACAGCCCAGATGCCCTTCAACTGAAGAATGGATGCAGAAATTGTGGTACATCTACACAATGGAATATTACTCAGCAATGAACAATAAGGAAATCATGAAATTTGCAGGTAAATGGTGGCACCTGGAAAGGATCATCCTGAGTGAACTGTCCTAGAAGCAGAAAGACACACACGGTATATACTCACTCATATAGACATATAACATAGGATAAACCTACTAAAATCTGTACATCTAAAGAAACAAATCAAGAGAGAGGACCCTGACTAAAATGCTCAATCCCCATCCCGAAAGGCAAAGAGGAAGGACATCAGAAGAAGAAGAAAACAGGAAACAAGCTAGAAACCCACATAGAGGGCCTCTGAAAGGCTCTGCCTTGCAGACTATCAAAGCAGATGCTGAGACTTATGGCCAACTGTTGGGCAATGTGCAGGGAATCTTATGTAGGAAGTGGGAAATAGCAAGATCTGGAGAGGACAGGAACCCCACAAGGAGAGCAACAGAACCAGAAATTTGAACACAGGGGTCTTCCCAAAGACTCATGCTCCAACCAAGTACCAGGCATGGAGATAACCTAGAACCCCTGCACAGATGTAGCCCATGGCAGTTTAGTGTCCAAGTGGGTTACATAGTAATGGGAAGAGGGACTGCCTCTGACATAAACGGATTGGCCTGCTCTTTGATCACCTCCCCCTGAGGGGGGAGCAGCCTTACCAGGCCACAGAAGATGACAATGCAGCCACTCCTGACGAGATCTAATAGACTAAGATCAGAAGGAAGGGGAGGAGGACCTCTGCTATCAGTGGACTTGAGGAGGGGCATGCGTGCAGAAAGGGGAGGAAGGGTGGGATCGGCAGAAGAGGAGGGAGGGGGTTATGGAGGGATACAAAGTGAATAAAGTGTAATTAATAAAATAAAATAATTAAAAAAGAACAATCCCTGTTTTTTAATTGTACCTCTGTCGGCAGGATTTATCATGAACCAAATAAGAACGCCAAAGAAGAGATGCTGCACAGGTGAGGGAAGGATAGGCTTGGGAAATACCATGGGGAAGGGGTTCTCTTCACAACGACTGTGAAATGAAGGGCTGGGTCAACCTCAGGAGCCCAAAGTCTAACAGCTTTCCACACTTTTAAAACTAAGTAAACAAGTATTTTGGTTTTTAGTTCACTGCAAATATGGATCACATATTCCAGTTGACAACCTGAACTAAAAATGTGACCAGGTGTCCAACTACGCTTTCCTCCCCTCTTCTCCCATCAAAAACTTGCAGCTCACAAGGAAGGTATGGGATAGAAAGCAGTCTGCTTTTATTGCCTTTAATCCAGAACTAACAATGCTTTGTTTAGATCAGTATTAGCCAGGCCATGGTTGCACACACCTTTAATCCCAGTAATCCCAGAGGCAGAGGCAGGGGGATCTCTGAGTTTGAGGCCAGCCTTGTCTACAGAAGGAGTTCCAGGACAGCCAGGGCTACAGAGAAACCCTGTCTCAAAACAAAACAAATCAATACTTACTCACACATGAAATGCATGAAGTATGAGTCAGATGGAAGAAAGGTGTCTAGAAGATAAAACGAAGCGTCTCAAATGAGTATTTATTTTTCTGGTGACACGTGTGGGCTCTTTGTTTGCACATGTGTCTCACTACCACGCGTGGTGCCTGCTTTCCAAGGAGGTCAGAGGGCAGCAGATGCCCTGAGATGGGAGTTACTGAGAGTTTTCGAACCACCACACGGGTCCTGGGAATCAAACCCAGGTCCTCTGGAGGAGCAGCCTGTTCTTCACTGCTGAGACATCTTTCCAGCCCCAACTCTAAAATACTGAAAATCCATGTCCTCTCGCTGCTTCTCTAGAGAGACCTAAAGTACTTTACTCCCAACTTTATAGGACTGTAAAACAGATAAAAACCAGCCTAGTTATGCATTTCCAAACCTCTATGGGTTACTTACACTTACTTCACAAAATCAAACCATAACTTTTCTTGCATTAAAAAAATTCAAAACCATAAGGACCCATCCTAAGCATGCAGAATCAGCCAAGCACAAAATAAAGCCGCATGCCACATGGCTTCTGTCCTGTCTCTCCATCTTACCTCACGTGAAACATGGCGGCTGGAATTTCAGGGGGAGATCCTGAGCACCGCCACCAGCCCAGCCAGTCTGGGCTCGACTGCTTTGCCGCTCTTCATCAGCGCTGAGAGGCTCTGTCCATCCTTCTTCAGGGCAGAGAAACCTGGGCGATGAGGAGAGAGCACAGTGAGGCGATGGGAACATGCCAAGCCTCGTGGAATGAGGGTGGGAAGCGGCTCTATGCCCTGTACACACTCCTGAAACTCACTCTTTCCGAATGGTCTCCCATGGCATCCGGAGGGAGTCCTATGCATCTCTGACACTGACCCGGGCAGGGAGCAGCATCCATTTCCTTCTTTTCTTTTTCTTTTTTCATTTTTAACTTGTTTTTTTTAATTTTTCTTATCAGTTACATTTTGTTAACTCTGTATCCCAGCTGTATTCTGCTCCCTCATTCCCTCCCAAATCCTCCCTCCCTCCCTCATCTCCTCCCTGCCCCTTTCCAAGTCCACTGATTGGGGAGGACCTCCTTCCCTTTCATCTGACCCTGTTTTATCAGGTATCTTCAGGACTGGCTGCAAAGTCCTCCTCTGTGGCCTAACAGGACTGCTCCTCCCTTGGGAGGTGGGGAGGTCAAAGAGCCAGCCACTGAGTTCCTGTCAGAAATACTGTCCCCGGCGATGACCTCGGCAGCCCCCTTTCGCTAGTGCCCAGCTCGGAGGCAGCTTCTGCCCGAAAACGTCGTCCACAGTAAACAGCACAAGCCCCTGGACAGTGCACTGAAGCAGTTCATGCCCATATATGTTTACACAGACATTCGTTAACTTAGTTTAACAAATGACTCAAACGTTTTATGCTGATTTTGTGAAAATTGTTGAAGTTTTACATTTGAGAGAAATCTTGAAACATTTCCATAGATGTATTTCAGTGTTTTGGGGAGAAAAACCTATTTCTAAATACAAATGAGACCCAGAGTCTAAAGGAGCTGTCGGGAACATATCCAATGTATCCTGGAGTCGCGAGGGCAGTAGTGTGCGGCAGGGCTGTGCATACAGGCGTGAATAGTGATGTGTGCCCCCTGCCAGTCACAGAGATGCTGGCATTGGGCAGAGAGGCCTTTCAGAGGGTGTCCCGGGTCAGAAACAGCCCTCACGAATACCATCATCACTCTGCCGCATGAGGACACCACGAGAAGGCAGGCTCTCACCGGCACAAGAGTGTGCCCCAGCCTCATCCTGGGCAGAGCCGCAGGACCATGAGAACTAGTTCCTTAGGCTGTGGCATTCCACTCCAGCTGCCCTAACGCACCCAGACAAACAGCGAGGCTATTTATACTCACATTTGCACATGGTTGTAAATTTCCCTGTTGGTGTGCTGGAAAGATCCTGGGGCTGGACATACAGCACGCGTCAGGACTCTGACCCACAGGTCTGCTGCAGCATGTCCTCTGACTGTAGTTTTGGGGGCTGTGGCACCTCTGACTCTGTCACTGCCCTGACATCTATAGACAGGACTTGAAAAGCTGGTGAAGTGGGATGCACAGAGGCCAGGGTGTGCTAATGTCCAGCACAGAACGTAATCCACTCCGTCAGGGTATCAAGGCTTTCCATCCAGACTGCATCTGCTCCTCCCCTTTCGATTACTTACAATGTCCAGGCTAAAAGACCACAGAAGAAAGCCCACTTGGTTCTAATTGGTGGTTAACCATCAATTTAATAGCTGAACTTACGGGGAGTACTTGCATTGTACTCCCAGGAAACTTCCCCAGAATGCCTTCAATGTCTTCTTGTGTTATTTTATCTGCCAACAAACCAAGAAAAGATTTTATCTGCCAAAAACAAACCAAGGAAAGCTGACAACAGCCACAGAGGCAACAGTCCCTACAACTCTGAAAAGTCGTCATCATCATCATCATCATCATCATCATCATCATCATCATCAAGAAAACACAAATTACAGGGATGGAGAGATGGCTCAGTGGTGACAACCACTGGCTATCCTTGGAGAGGGCCTCAGTGCAATTCCCCACACCTACATGGCAGCTCTCATCTCTTTCTGATTCTAGTCCTAGCAGATCTGCTGCCCCTTCTGGCCTCAGAGGGCACCGGGTACCTACAGAAATAAATAAATAAATAAATAAATAAATAAATAAATAAATAAATAAA